TATACATCACTAAATGTTAAATTTGGCCAAAGAAATGTACAAGCGGCCATACCACGAAACTGAATGCATTATACAAAAGTGCGTTCTTTCGATATTCATGGCGTATTAACAAAGGATCACAAATATATCGCACCAAGTAAAAGCCGCAATGTATTACAAATCATGAGGCATGCACTAGGTTGCATATTTGTTTTCACGAAATTCATACAAAACCAATAATAATAATAATTGTTTTTATAATAAATGATGCATCTTCTGATTACAAAATCACTTGCCCGTGGAAGGAAACGTCCCTATTTACCCGTTTACCCACAGTTATGGTGCTTTTGCAGTTTATAATGGCACAATTATGCATTTTTCGCGTTTTCGGCTGGTGTTTATTTACGATAACGGTCGAGCGCGATCTGAAGTGTAGCAGCAGCAAGTAAGTGAATTTCAATTACTTTGGGCACGCGAAGTACGTACACTTGCGGCGTTTATCTAGATATATGTCTGTGCTGAAAACAAGCTATTTTGTCGGATCTAAAATTGCGTATATTCAAGCAAATTAACGTTTTGACAGCTCTTCACTGACTGCTCCATGCCGACTGGCAGCCGTAAACATGGAAACTGTAGAAAAACCCAAATCGTAGATTTGTTTGAAAAAGGCAGTTGTAATAGGACATTGTAAGCCACGAGCCTGAAATGTTCGTTTGTGACAATATAGTTTCATTTCCATGCGTAGATTGCTACGCGGTTACCTAATAAATTGACCTATAAAACGTTATATAAAAGTCACACGTTAAAGAGTAACAACTTTCGAGCAAATATGGAAACTGTTCAAAATCACATTCTCTGCGTAATTTAGAACAATTATTATTAAGCACTTGCAATTCGAAAACCCTCAATCAACTTTAATAGATTTCCGGCCGCATAATTTAACTTTTGTTGCTAGTGCTTCCACCATGGGTTTTCAGTAATAGTTCGCTAGCGTCACGCTTTCGCCATAGCTATCGTCGAAAAGGTGATAGAGCTTTTAAGAGTTTCTCACCTGAACACGGAAGAAACAAATGCCTTGTATGACCTCTGTTCTACTTATTCTGATATTTTCCATATACCTGGAGATAAACTGACGTCCACTGACGTTCTACAACATGATATTCATACTTCCTCGTCCGTTCCCATCAATACAAAGTCCTATCGATTTCCGGATATACACAAGCAAGCAGTAAAATATTTGTAATTTTTTAAGTGATTTCACCCGCAACCCTGATACAGGGTTTCCCTAGTGCGGGGCTATTTGATGTGATATGTGTGTGCGTTAAAAAAAATTCAAGCTGTCAAAAGTAAAATAAATGATTGGTCGGAGTATAGTGGAATAATTTCACAAAAATCTCTTTTCATATGTGAAAATCTTTTTTCATATGTGACAGGCTGGTTTGTTTGTCGATTGCGGTAAAACTTTCGTGAGTTGTTGTGCCAACGCCCGCAAAAGTTTCCAAAGTATTAGATCGCACTACTGGACATGAATCCCCCTCTAAGGAGATGGTTAAAACCATAGCCTATCACGATGGCCCAACACGAGTTGGACTTACACGTTTATACTGGCATTTTAATGCATGCCTGGTATAGCTAGTATTTAATAAACTCATGGTAGATTTAAAGAACTTCTATTGAAGTTTTCGTTGAAATTGTTTCAACTGGTAAATATGTTTCAACTACAGCCATGGACATAATACATAGAAGAACGCTAAAAAGGATGAATTATGATAAAACCACAGGCCGAATAGATCAGAACGTTTAATAATAAAAAAAGTATTTCGATTAAACGTTTCGTTTATATGAACGTAAATGTTATCACAATTCAACTTGTTTTTTAGTTTTCCTCTAAATATGTCAGTTTATGTTATATTTTGAGTATTTTGCCAGGGTTTCGGTTATTTGTCCTGCGTAATGGCGTCTGTAAACTATGTCCTAGTGTCCTACCAGCTAGTGACATTGAACGACTGTAAAATCTTGTTCTGGGTGCAAGGAGTCCTTGATATATTCTTTTATGTCAAAATTTACTTCAATATGCATCAGGTAACTTGATACAATTTTTATTCTGTTTGAACATTCCATTTATAAGACGCGGTAGCCTAACGGTTTCACCTACCGCCTCTCAAACAAAGGTCATGAGTTCGAATCTGGGCTCGTACCTCTAAATTTCTCGGAATTATTGTGCGTAATTTAATTTAAAAATTTACCAAGAATTTTTGAGTGAAGGGAAATATCATGATGAAACCATGTCGAGGAAGAATCACAACCCTCGGGTGACCTGCGAGTCCCCAACCTAATAAGACAAGATGCGTGCCCAGCGGTGGGACGTATAAATGGGTTGATGATGATCATTGAACATCCAGGTTTTGGCTTCTATAGAAAACATAGCATGGTACGAGTTTATCACAAAACATAATATCTGATGTTGTATCTTACGAGTGCATTAATTTGTGTTTGAAACATCTATATTTAGCAGATGTTGAGCTCCCTGTGAAAGAAGTCGTCCAGGGAAATATTGCCACCTTACCTATTTCTGCCGTCCAAGCAGTAATGTGTGCATTACTGCGTTTTGGTTTTAAAGAGTACCGGTGCTGGTGCAATTACAGCATTGGATATTTAAACTTATGGCTCAGGGTGACCGGCGTAGTGGCGCAGTGTTTGCGATTTAAAGCTCTGTGTGGAACTTCAACTGTTATTGATAGATGTGTCGCTTACCACCAAGGCTTTTTGTCCCATCGTCGCTAGATATCATTAAAAAAAATGTATGTCAGACGGGAATTTTGCACTCGGAATTAAAATTAAGGAAGGTATATATCAGGGCTCATTCAAAATCAGAGCCACAGTCAATAAAAGACTGTGGCATAAGCTGAATGAAGTCCTTTTGTATACGCCACAATCGCACATATGACAGTACAACATTTGTAGTCGTTATATTTTATTTTGTTTTTTTTTTTTAATTTTGTTTATTACGTCTTTTTATTTTGTTTTGTGTAAGTTTTATCAATATTTTTTTTGTATCTATGTGTTGTGGCGTTGCAATAAATGTATATTCTATTCTATTCTATTCTATTCTATTCTATATACATATATGCATTCCTCGTAATTGGTATCATCAGTAGTCATCATTCAAATACGAATATTCAATCTATTGACATTGCGACAGGGTTTCATAAACAAACGTGGAGTCGTAGTGACTGAAGCAAACAAGTGCCGGCGACAATATAGCAGGCTCAAATGGTGGATGTGGTCTGATTTGTTCGCCAACATACCTATGGAGTTCTTTGGTTTCGCTTTTGCGTAAGTTGTTAGCTCTTGAGATTATTTATGCAGAAAAAATGTATTATGTAGTTGCAACCGCTGACTGGTACCTAGAGAGTTTACCTGACCAACTAAAGACGTATTTTTTATGCGAAAACTCATCAACAATATTGATTGTAATTAAATGAAATATTGCTCTGTAGGGCACTCTGTACGACAGGGCGTGACTTGCACGAGAGTGATATAAAGCGCGATACTTCTATGTGAGAATAACGGTATATCGCGCTTTATATCGCTGTCAAGCAAGTCGCGCCCTGTCATGTACAGGCAGGTCGTGTCCTATGAGATCGAACAAATTTTTCTTTGTGTGCGATCTTTGATTTAAAATTCTAATTTATCAACAAGTTGAGTGGTGTTGAGAGTAATAGCTAATAACTCATTGTACTGTTTTTACGGAGTTACATGTTTGCAAAAGTTTAATAAGAGGTAGCAAACAAAGAAGTAAATTTCTATGTCAAAGCCTGGAAATTTACTACGCTAATTAAAAAATGCTTTCCGAAAAATAAGTTTTCTGCTGGTTTTTATAAATTTTGGTGTACCTCAGGGCAGTCTTTTGAGTCTCTTCTTATATGTTGTATGTTGCACCTAGGGACAGAATTCTGGATCTGTTATTATTTATATATATTTATGATATTTAATAATTTGGAGTACTGCCAACTGCAAATAAATTTAATGTAATTTAACTGCTTCCTTGGCCGAATGTTTACCATGCCCGACTGCCAAGCAAAGGTCCCAGGTTCGATTCCTGGGCCGGGAAAAATATTTCTATGGCCTACATTTATTTCTGTCGTGAGTTTGGGTGTAATTTGTGGTTGTATTGTGTGTGTGTGTCCATGGCACCCGCAACACAGGGTTTCCCTAGTGTGGGGCTATGTTGAGTGTGTGCGTTATTTGGAATATCTCCTGGCAGTCTTTTGGATTTATAATGAATGGCTAGTGCAACGCGATATTATGCGACGGTGTGCGTACGCAGTGCGGTTATTGCTTAATATTTAACTACCTTTTACTGTACGAGTATGTATCTATCAAGCAAGGAATAAGTGAGTCATAGTTTGCTATAAATTATAAAATTTGAAGTATTTCTAAGTGGATATTACCTATTCAGAAATTGTCCGAGAGCCATGCATTATTTGCGCTGCAACAAGTTGTTAAGACTGAAATATCTTGTGGAATTTTACAAGAAGACTTCAGCTGAGCTCACAAACAATATAACTTTTTTACAGGTTGGTCATAATTTTCAATTACATTTGTTGTTGCCATTATTATGATTTCATCACTAACTAACTAGTATGTCCACTCGACATGAAAAATTACTTTATCATAATGTTTTAGAACACGTGTACCATTAACCCTTTTTATGTTTTGTACAGGCTGTGACGACAGCGTTCGTAGTAATCTTATTGGTTCACACATTGACTTGCGTGTGGTTACTCGTGATAATGGCTAATTCGCCAATTTGCTTTCTGCGCCGAGTCAAAATGCATCTTTTCGATGAGTTAGTTTCACGCAGGCTCGTATACTTTTATATTTTCTGTACACTTCTTCAATTGCGACTGTGTAATGCTTAGTTACTTATGTTTTGAATAAGCCCAAAATTAAAAGACTCGAAACCTATAATACTGGCCTCCTTGCCAGAACTGCTTAATAAATTAATAAGTTAATAAATTGAGTTATTAACATATTATCTGGGATCAGCGAAACGGGATCGACAATCCCCGCTAATCGGTTTTTATCTTATTTAGTTTCATTTGTATTGTTAAGCAAAATCAGCTAAATTTGGCGTTATTTTAGATGAAAAAAAAATTTTTGTATATACTGGTAAGTATTGCGAAAGTTACCGAAATACAAATGAAGGCTCCAGGGAAAGAATGATCAGTCACTTGAAGAGAATTTTAGTAAAAAAAGAATGTTTAATTTGGAGAACTTTTAAATGTTGGTGAAAAATTCACGCACAAAAACTACCTGAATTAAAGTCAAGGCTAACATAAATGTATGTAACGTTATGTAATCCATTTTAACTAAAAACATTTACAATTTTTTTTTACTTTTCTACCATTCAGTCGCAAGCATTTTTATGACTAAAAACAAAAGCTAATTTTTCACGACACTGAATCTTATTAGCGTTTTTCTGATTTTGGCAAAATATGCTCAGCGTTTACCGAATTGGATGGCGGTATTAACTCTAAACATGTTTTAAGTGACTTTGATCATTCTTTCCCTGGTCTCTTCAAACGCATTAGTTATGACAAAGAGGGCAGTATAATGTAATTATACGTACGTCAGTATTATACGTAATTTTTACTATGACTGGTTTAAATATAACTTACATTCCTTGGAGTATGGGTCGGCCTTGGTGTGGGACGAGTCAAGAGGGCTAGTTCCGCAGCTGAGCTGGCGGAAATATTAAAAACTAATAAGTAGATACCAGGATCTCGGCTCCGACTACTTATTTACTGCTTTTGGAGCCGAAACCCTTTGCCCGTGGGGTCTCAGAGCCTTTCATCTGTACAAAATTTTATCGAAAAAATTAATAGGCTGTCTGGGAAACCCAAAGGCTGGCTACCTTGCCAACGCATTAGCATGCAAAGGGGGAACGCTCTGCCAGCATCTTGGGCACCTTGCCGCGGGGACTCAATTTTATTCATATAAATTAAAAATTCAAGTTTTACTTTCTAGTATTTAAGCTTTTATTGTACCTTACCCTTAAGGACTAACATACATACAATATAATAATAAATAACTTACATTATTATTATCAATTTTTCCTCGGTGTACCCCTTCGGTTCGTCATCATCAGCATCAATCCATTTATACGCCCCACTGCAGGGCACGAGTCTCCTCGTAGGCGAGGGTTTCAGAACATAGTACACCACAATGGCTAAGAGCGGGTTGGGGATTTCACACGTTTTCCAAAGGTTGTTATCCTTTTTCGACGTGCAGGTTTCCGAAAAGCTCATAATAAATTTCAAACAAAATTTCACACATAATTTCCGAAAAACTCAGAGGTGCAAGTCCGGATTCGAACCCGCGGCCTCTGCTTGTGAGGAGGTAAGCGAAACCATTAGGCTACTACGGCTGTTCTTCAGGTCGTGTGTGTTATTATTTTCGGTATCTATTTTAGATTCTCACCTCTCCCATGGCCTAAATGATTAATTTTGAATTTTAAATGGCAGAGGAGGTATTCTCCGGCAATGGCACGGTCAGCCGGGTTCAGAGCCTCAGGTTTAAGAACCGGCGAACAATACCTGCCGGTTATTAGTATGTTTTTCTATTCACAACCTATTATTATTATTTATTTCATATTCACACATAATAACAAATTGGGATACACAGTTAGACACTGAAAGCCTTGACGGATTTAAATGTTGAGTGTGCAGAGGTGACAAGCTCTAACAAATTTAAATTAAGTAGTTGTCGAGAGGCCTACATAGGGCGCACTATAAGTTTCCGGAACTGGCCACTTACATAAAAAATATTTAAAAAGTAATTACAACATTTGAAAATGGAACTCTTTGGCTGTAAAATACAGTTTGTTTCATCTGACTGTCACTTGTTTTTACATTGTGGCGTCATTTTACAAATTGGTTGTCTACATCACCCTGGATTTAACTCGTGAAAATTTTCGTAGTATGATTTTCTACGACCTCAAGTGTAATTTAACAGCTCAGTGGAGCTTCCCTCGGCTTCAAACGCCATATCGTCTCGCACCACGATAATGCCAGTTCTCACACGGCCAGACAAACAAATGAATTTTTGAAGGTGAACAACGTTGACCTTATGAGCCATTCCGCGTACAGTCCCGACCTGGCACCTTGTGACTTTAATTTATTTCCAAAAATTAAGAACCAGTTACGCGGTCAACGATTTTCATCACCTGAAGAGGCTGTCGCAGAGTATGAAAAATATGTTTCAGAGATTGTCTCGGAGGAGTGGCATAAACGTTTTCAAAATTGGTTCATTCGTATGAAAAAGTGCATTAACGCTAACGGAGAATATTTTGAGAAACAATAAATTCATATCTGACCATTTATTATTAATATAGTATTTCTCCTTATTTATTCCGGAAACTTATAGTAGTACGCCTCGCCTCACGTAGATAGTTCCCAATTGTAAAATAATCACAATTCACGAATCTGTTAAGTAAACAAATCAGTCTTCTTCTTATCGTATCCATGGCGTACAGTATAATGCTAGCCATCATGGTGAAAGGATTGGCCAACCAGTGTAAGGTACTCGCTGATTATCGCCCAGGGTACGCCAGACGTACGTGAAAGGAATGGTACGTTGTGAAATTAAATATATTACTTAATTAATTCTTGCGGACTTATAGCTTGACGAACACGCCTAGCAAGATAGTTGATAATAATAGTAATAATAATTAGAATAATAAAAGTAACAAACACAAAATAATAGTAACAACAATTTGTATTCTAAATAGCTCTACAATATATTATCAATATTTTTCAAAATCAAATTTAAAATAGCGGCTATGAGTTGCGATTAACTGTCCGCGTACATACCAGTAACCCGGTCAAGAGCGAATAACTCATTCAATAAGACAACCGCTCTGGCGGCTGGAAATTATTTGTAACAATGTTATACGTCAGTATAGTCACAAGTCAGTGGTTATATCATTCACTTTGTAAAACAAACAATCATCTGTTACGCTACATTACATTTGAAGTCAGTTGAAGCGGACTGTATCAATGCGTTAAAGGGTGGATGCTAACCACGAGTGAGCAAGGCCAAAGCAAACGTACGTACAGCTTATTAATTTATTAGAATACACGAGTAGCTTTCAAAGCAAAACAACAAACAATTGTTAAGAAAAGGCGCCAAAAACAATCACATTTAAATTTAGAATTTAAATGTGAAGCTAAAACTTAAAGAGACTGTAAATATATACAAAAAAAGATTTTTAGCGGCTGCTGCGATTCGCTACATCAGTGTTTATGTCATTGAAAATTAATTATAAAATAAATAATACATAGTACTGCATTTACTACAGTCACATTTAAATTATATTACGTTATAAAAAAATAATAAAAAAATACAATAACATATAAATCATAATACGATAATCATTACATTGTAACATTTGATTTTAGTAAATGAGGAATTCTTTAACATCATACAATAGTTTTTCTAGACGCCATTTCTTTAATTTAATCTTAAAGCTACTCTGTTTCTGCGAGGAGGCTCGTTTCGTGCACCCAAAACAAATCAGTTTCTCATTAATTATTACCATCACAGCCGAGAAGCTCCACACCAGCGTTGGAATTACACTACGGCCCTCTACGTGATGGTGGCACTTTTAACAGGCACAGGGGGCGATGAGTTTGTCGTAGACGAAATTAAGGCCTTCGTTATACTAAGTCTGTCTGTGGTGTGCGGTAAAATGTTAGCCGCTATGATCGTCGCGACTTGCATCCAGCTGGCTTACTCTGCTAAAAGTACCCTAACCAATTACGAGAGAAAAGTTGGGGAACTAGTAGATGTTTTGAGAAACCAGGGATTATCGAGTAAGTTACTTAATTATTTTTTTATACTATCAAGTGACAGGGTGAACAAATTGTGCATCTGGTGGTAAGTTACACGCCTGTACGCAGCAGTTGCTGTGCCATCGCAAAGATCTGAGGGGTATTACCACTGCGCCTGTCACCCTGAGACGTAAGTTGACAAGTCTCATGTGCCTGTAATTTCACCAGCATCCTTAACCTCCAAAACCGAAATGCAGTAATGCTCACATTTCTGTTTGGCGGCAGAAATAGTTAAGGTGGCAGTATTTCCCTGGATAAACGCTTTCACTCTACTGCTGCTTCTAATAATATGGATTTTAATTAATACCATAATGTTTTACTTTTGTTTTTTTTTAATGAAATTACACCAGTTATGTCATAGGGTGACGGGCGAAGCGGTACTTAGTGCCCTTCAGATCTTTGGGATGGTACAGCTACTGCTACAGACAGTCGTGTAGCTTACCACCAGACGCACGACTTGTTCGTCCCATCTTGGTTTCATGAAAAATAAATTTACTTTCTTCTAATTTATTATTGCTCTTACTGCAACAATCTTAGCGGTTGCCCTCGATTGGCCCACAGACGTAGTTTTCAGTCCTGTCACGTCGAAGGATTTTTTCTTTGCGTTTGATCTTTGTATTAATAATTATAACAATTTAGTGTATACTTTCTTTCTTTGACGACCTCTGAGGTCCAGTGGCTTGCACGTCGGTTTTCATGGTGTCACCATCTTTGAGGTCCTAGGTTCCTGACATTTATATTCTATTCACAAGTGGTTTACTTACTACTTTGGGATCAGGGCAACGTATGTGATGTTGTCTAGTATTTATATATTTTTGGTTTCTAGTTAATCCTAACAAGATTCTAATAAAATCTGCTTGATTGAATTATTTTCCATTCCTTATGGTAGTGACCCTGCGTTTTGATTCCTTAATTTTAGTCGGGGTTTGCTATGCTAATAAACTCTGCCAATCAAGTGGGCGTAACCATACCAACAACTTTTACTTATAAACATTCTCGTGTTAGTTCAGGGGTTCCCGTCCTAGCTTTTATTTAAAACTTTAGAATAAATTAAGGTAAATTTAATTATTTCGTGTAGGTAATTCTATATATTTTATTACATTTTCAATGGTTTTCATGGTGTCGCTGAGGTCCCGGATTCGATATCCGGCCGGGTCAGTGTACAAAAATAACTTTTCTATATTGTCTCGGGTCTGAGTGTTTGTGGTACCGTCATTGTTTCCGATTTCCATAACTATAACTAAAATAATATACTTTGGGACCAGAGCAACGTATGTGATGTTCTCAAATATTTATTTATTTATAGTCTGCCGGTCCTCTTGAAGGACTTAGGAAGTATCCTTTCAAATGCGTAGAGCACAATGGGAAAAAGATACTTACCTAGGCGACTTTGTATTTGTCGTCAAATTAATAAACAGATAAATTAATTATTTTGTTCTAATTTTATCGAGTTCTTAGGTTTTCGCGATTGTTACACACAGGAAATGAAACAATTTTTCCGGATGTAAATCGCGTATATTTGTTTTTTCAAACAAACCGACGTTTCGGGCCCTTTACAGGTCCCATGGTCACGGTTGACTGAGGAGGTACAGTCTTCAACCAGTTATGTCTAATATTATCTATAGTTACAATAGTTATTAATTAAATACCTTATTTTTAATTTTACAAAGAAAACATTCCAATTTACGCTACGTTAAGTTTTACAAATTATTTCATTGAATGATTTTTTATTAAGTTCAATTTATTATTAATGAATAATGGAAATTAGAATAAACTGAAACATATTAATTAGTACTGCAGTTTTATGTCTGTTTGGGATTTTTTATCAGAGGAAATACTGGATCCCAAACTGATGGTACGGAGAAACCATCTTCCCTGTTGAAATTAGGATGTTTTTTAATTTCAATGGCCTCTCGCAGCATCCTGGGTAGATAACGGATTTCTTTTGCAAGGACCTGGGGTTTGTCAAACAGCTATATGTTCTTTGACGCGGGTACAAATACTTCGCTTCGTTTGTCTCATATAAGAGAGATCGCACTCATAGTCAAGCTTGTAAACTCCTGCATCCTGTAAGGGGATGTTACATTTCACGGGTCTTAGGAACTGAGACATTTTCATCAGTGGCTTGAAATAGGCCTACGTCTACGTACGTACGTCTGAGGACTCTTCTGATCTTGTCTGTAACACCTCACACGTAAGGTAAAATGGCAAGTCTTCGCTTAACTGTGGGTGGTTTCACACGGGGCCTGCGGCGTTGGCGTGGAATCTTCAACTTATTCGCATGTAGGACTTGCTTTATATGCTGAAGTTCCCCTATCAGATGATTACTGTCACAGACATTGCGTGCTCTTCGAAACAAAGATTTGCCCATGGTAGCTAACTGGCTAGGATGGTGTTGGGAATTACTATTGAGGTACCTATTTGTATGGGTTTTATTTCGAAATACAGTGTGGCCTAAGGTGTTATTACAATTTCTCTTAATTAAAACATCTAAGAAAGCTAAAGTACCACAATTCTCTTGTCCCATAGTAAATTGGATCCTAGTACTAAAAGAATAAAGATGGCCCAAGAAAGAAGGTACGTTAATTGTAGGTAAATTTGAATGTTTTCTATGTAAAATTAAAAATTAGATATTGAATTAATAACTATTGTAACTATAGTGAAAAAATAGGGTGGTTTGCATTAATATTAGACATAACTGGTTGAAGACTGTACCACCTCAGTCAACCGTGACCATGGAATCTGTAAAGGGCCCGAAACGTCGGTTTATTTGAAAAAAAAAACAAATATACGCCATTATTATATTTGTATTGTAATATGTTATGTTAATATGTTATTTTATTAATAAGTATATACAAATAGGAGGTTGGGCGATGAGGTGTTACACGCATTCCGACCGACAAAATCTATTTACATATGCCTTGTAGGTTATATCAAACATAGCTAGTAAAAGTATGTATGGATATTTACAGACTATCAACTAAAGAAATACTGGATGTACATTAAGCAGCTGTGGGTGTACGAGAGAGGTCGACAGGTGCGTATTCAAAGAAATGTACAATTTACTTAATTTTATCAATTTGTGTATTCAGAGAATTCATAATGAAATAAATTAGAAAAATACATATCATATTTATTGTGCTGGTGTACGAAAACACTTGATTTCCTCAAAAGGCTTAAAGCTTAGACCATAATCACTACGTGAGTCCAACGTTGGATACTCTGCCTATATCCAAAGCGATTTTCCTTCTTTTAAAATTTCTCAGGTTCTTATGCAAAAATAGACGAAAAATTAATACTTTTTTCCTGAATCGATGCGGTTAATTTTATTTTTTCTCAGTTGCCGGTACTCCTGGCTCAAACCCCGTATGTCCGCCGCTGCGACCTTATGTCGGCGATGTTTGGCCACCATCTGCAGAACTGCTTCCTCTTCGCCGACACCGGCGAGCATTTCCTCAGACAACTCACTGCTGTGCTCACTTATACCACATTCTTTCCTGGTCAGTACCAGTTTGGTATCATTTATAAAAAAAGCGTCGTAATGGCATCTCACGGAAAAATGACCCGATATCTACGTACCTGAGAAAACGGGTACTTTAAGATGGCTCTTTTGTTGATCAGGTAATTATATAGTAGCAGCAGGCGACAGTGACGCATGCATGTACTGGGTGACACATGGTACAGTGTCTGTACTGTCAGTGCGTTCGGATTTGACCGAAATGACTCACGAATACCTCGGACCAGGAGATGTGTTTGGGATACTGCAGGGACTCGCAAGAGGCGTATTGCATTGCTTCTCTTATCGAGCCGAAACTAAGGTAAGGTCGTTTGAGGTGATTTATACGTAGTAATTACGGCCATAATACAGGCAAATAGGTTCTCGTGTGGATACCTCGAATTGCAAGGACAGAGTGTGAGACAGTTCCCTATTAGCTAGATAAATGACCAGGACCCCGATTCAAAACTCTTAGATATTTTAACCGAATCCTTCGATTGGATATCGTTCTCGAATCGAAAGGCGCTTTTCGAGCTGTTATATACATTCTACGAGTTAAACGTTCGATTCGGATTCGGATACGATATCGTTATCCAACAGCGTTTACGGAGTTAGTCGGTGAAATAGGTTATAAGAAAAATGGAATGAAAATACATTTTTAAGAATTTAAAGGCTTAAAATATAGGAATGCATTATTAATCTTGCATTAATTTAAATGAATAAAATTTAACAAAATCCAGATTTTTTTTAAAATAATAAGATATTTAACCGTGATCATGGGACCTGTAAAGGGCCCGAAGCGTTGGGTTGTTTGATAAAACAAATATACATGATTTAAATCCGGAAAAATAGTTCCATTTTCTATGTGTAAAAATCGCAAATACTTGATATAAGAGATTTCCATATTACATTCTTGCTTTGTAAACAATAAGACGTTCGGTAACTTTCATTCGATAACTGTATTCTGAATAACGGGTGTGACGTCATTTCGATCCGGTTTCGAATACGACTGTTCTGTAATAAAAATGAAAAGAAATCGTACGATATCAAATCGAATCGGTCGACAACTGAGTTATCGTAAGGTTCTGAATCGACCCCCTGGTTGGAGAAGCATTTGTTTCAAGCTTTAAAACGATACCATATGATATCACTTCGCCAGTTATTTACAATCATACTTTTGGGGGATTTATGATACGTGGTGCGTGCAATGTGAATTCATTTATTTTATAAATCCCCGACGCAAAAAGAGGGGCGTTATAAGTTTTTAGCCTTTATCTGTGTATCTATCTGTATGTGAGAACGTAGCTTCCAAACGGATGGGTTGATCTCAAAGTGACTTTTTTATTTGAGGGCTAATTAATCGAGATGGTATCTTAGCTTCCATGAACAACTTTTTATTTTATAATACCAAATGACGGGACGAACAACTCGTGCACCTGGTGGTAAGTAACACGCCTATCCTTAATAGTTGCAGTTCCATTCAGGGCTTTAAATCGCAAAGATCTTAGGGACCCGCGACTGCGCCCGTCACTCTGAGACATAAGTTGACTAGTCCGATGTGCCTATAATTTAATCAGCACCCTTACCCTTCTAAACCGGAACGCAGTAATGCTTACATTACTGTTTGGCGGTAGAAATAGGTAAGGTGGCAGTACTTCCCCGGACGAACTCTTTCACAAGGAACTCTACTGCTACTAAAATCTTTCGCCTTGGCAATGCTTTCATACATGCTCGTCGGTTAAAAGTACTGTCGACCTGGCCTTTCTTTAGGACGTCCTTAATGGTAAGTTCCCCTTGGTCGGCCATCGTCCGTTCATATTCGTCAACCTTCTATCATTTATCCTCTCTACGAGTCCAAATATCCAAGCATCCCTTTCTATGTTTTATCTTAGATTTTTTGAGAAATGGTTAAAACGTCGTTAAAGCCAAAAACAAATCTGTAACAAACATTGAGAAATTCGTAGGGTCTGCTGACTTGATCTATAGCTCACTTGTTAGAGCTGTTGCCCTAGATTGTCATCACAGACGCAGTTTCGAATCCTGTCAAACCGAAGGAATTATTCTTCACATTCGATCTTTATATAAATACTTCTAACAAATCAGTGGAGTAATTTCCCAAAAAATAAATGAATATCATGGTAGGAAAACATCATGGTATTCAATAAAATCAATATTACAAAGTCTGCATACAAAATGTTGTTGTCTTCTAGTGTCCGCTAGGGGTGCTGTATAATTTGACATACAAAGTTGTAGTAATTTACGCGATCGCTAGCGACAACTGTCACACACTAAACTCGTGGTAGAAGCACAGGATAGTCTCCAAATTACCCAACTCCTCAACTACTTACTATTGAACTATTGTGTTTGGACTCATTAAAATGATCTAGTTGAGTTGTTAGTTAACGGATGATAATTGTACTGACATTTTGGATAAAAAAGGGATCTCGTCCAGAAACGGAGCTTTTCAAATTTAGCCGACGATGTATTATTTTATATTAGGTGTTTTAAGTTTTTTACTTTGTGTTCTTTAGTCATACATTGCTGGAAGCAACTTTTAAAATATATTATGTAAATTTCTTCATTGTTTCTTAGGTTGGCATTCTAACCCTGTGTTTGGATGCTTGGATCAACATTCTACCCTATTTTCCGGAGGCTCAAAGTATAATTAATGCAAGGTCTGAAGTATTATACGCGCAATTTTAAGTTCAACTAATATTAATATAATTAGTGTAGCATTCATTGCATTTATTAATAAAAACTAATGAAATGATGTCTTTCATTTCTCATATTACATAATAATTACGAGGGCGGTTTGATAAATGCGTGACCTTAAAGATGAATACAAAACTTTTTTCGGAATTAATTTTTATTTCTTAATCCAGAACTCCTTAGCAACTGTTGTTTAAATTAGCGCGAAAAAAAGCAGAAATAAAAAAGTTAGGCGTCGGGAAAACGAATATCAGAATATTAAAACTTGTCGAATTATGATACGAACTAATGCCGCACCCCCGTATTTACCAGATTTAGCCCCATTCGACTTTTTTTAACGATTTCCATCAATTTTGATGATTAAAAATAAGCCTCTTGTTTCGACAAAAAAAATATTTTTTTATGGGTTGAAGAAGTTGGAATATAGCTAGTCAAGGTGTATAGAGTTAAAAGGAGATTACGTAGAAAATAAACTAAAGGTATAAAAAAATATTTGTTTTTCTCAAAGTCATGGACTTATCAAACCGTATTAATGAAAATGGAAGAAAATTGCTTTACTTCTCCGACAGCCCAGTGAAGGTTAAGGCGCCATGCAAACGTGTGTCTTATGTTGTATACAAGCAACCGGCAACTAGAAGCGAATATTGCATTTTCATACAAATTCAGGTTGCGGCAACCGGCGATAGTATCCGACTGCCACCGGTTGAACCGCCGTAATTACTAATATAAAATAAAAGTATAATTGAACTAAAATATAAAATAAGGTGAGTCGTACGTTGACTTGCATAAGCTAAATTTTATTTTTGGTTCTGCATTCAGACAGGTTGCAAATCTTCACATGCTGTACCTTACGGTTCACTAGTATGGGATAAATCCACGGATGTCTATACAGTTAAGGTAATGCAAAAACGTGCTTTGCGCAAATTGGTTGCGGTGAAACCCAGATACTTCTGCAGAGATTTATTTGTAACGCATTATGATGACTCACTATACTCTCTTCATATCTTCGAAATTATAATGTTTGTTAAGAGTACACAGAAAAAAAGGAATCTACTAATAAGAAAGAGCAATTTCTCAAAATATTTGCTAATTCTGAAAAAATATTTATTAAAAGTAATAAAATATTATCATTACAAAAATACTGCTTATCTTTTTCTAATACAATTTTACTCTTAACTTTATTCTGACTTTTAGACAAATACCTTCACTTCAAGATTTTATTTTATTTCTAATCAATCAATTGGACATTACTTACATCAAGAAATATTTACCTCTTACATCAAATTTAAATAATCTTATATGAATTCAAAATTTTTTGGGTGTATTTTAAGAAAATATATTCTTAAACAATAAAAGAAGTAGTTTGCTATTCAGATTAATATTCTAAATTCTAGAGTATATTTTTAAACCAACATTTCGTTGCGTTTTCATAATCAATGTTGTCGTGACATGTCGCCGAAGGCGCACGCGGCAACGATTCCTTGTACTTGTGCTTGTAATCATAAAAATCATAAACAGCCATTGATCCAAAGAAACAATACGTAGTATCTCTAGTTTCTTAGAGTGTTATTTGTAGTCATAATTTAAGAAATTTGGTTTCTAATAAAATTTCTAATAACTAATAAATATTTTCTTGACTCTAGAGTAGCTTTGTGACTTGAAGCAAATTAATTTGCTCTTGGATTAAATATTTCTGTCTTATAATCAAAATACACTTTTGAAACGTTTTTTTACTATTATCAAGTAATTATTCTCTAGCGTCTATAGGGGGAGGATTGTTTTGTTGGATTTAATAAATTTGTCTTCATAAAAAGAATTTTGTCTTTTTCTAAGTAATCTGTTTTTATCGTGTAGTAGACGCAGCTCGAATTTTTTATGCTTCGGTTGAGCGGCAGGGACAATGGCTTCATTTCACAATTGATTTTTTTACAAACGAAGTTAAAGCTATTTGAAAATTGTAATATAGTATATATACGTGTTCTCTATAGTTTAGTTGGTATAAAAAATATCATTTCAATTGGTATATGCAAAGTACCCATTGAATACAGAGCTTTTCGTATAAAATTTCGAGGTATTTTTTTTCTACGTGTAAATTTTTAGGAAACGTGTTTTCGCACCGTATGTAATATGTATATCTTCAATTTTACTATATATTTTTCGAAAGTGATTGACTCAACACTCACTGTTAGTCGGAATCAACCAAAGCTATTTGAGGTTGTACAGATTCTTAAGCGGCATCCAACACCATTGTACCGAGCGTTTGTGGACAGTCCCTCGTCGCATGGCACTTGTAGGAAGAATTCGCATGTCATCAGATCTGGTACTGGCTTTGCCTATGGTGCTTGTTGTGCAGCGAACTCGGGCGCAGGGTCTGAGACATTGAGCACGAACGAAGTAAACGGGCTATTGCTTCCGAACATCATTTATAATTGTACCATTTGTACCCGAACTTCCGATCACTGGGGAAAATGTAACTGTAAGTATTCCATTTTGATCGCATGCGTACTAGATGACGCTAGAGTATTGATTGAACCCAGAGTCGGGTTGGACTCATGGCCTAGCACTGGTGCTGATCTCACGCCTACTTACTAACCGCTGTTCTGCTAAACTGCCTCCGTGACCCAACGGTTACCATGCCAGTCTGTCACGCAGAGATTGCGGGTTCGATTCCCGCGCCGGGAGAAATATTTGCATGGCCTACAAGTGAGTGTGATTATCGATGTGTATGTCCATCGCCCGCGATACA